TTTTTCTTTGTCTTTGCTGTTTGGAGAATTTCCATAATGGTAGAGATTGAATAATTTTTCTTTTTCTTCTTTATGTAATTATTCTAATGGTTAGTTTTCTAACTTCACATATTTTAATGGGGATAATTACCTTCATTTTGTTTCTAGATAAAGGATTCCCTTAAATATTTCTGAAGAGCCAATCTAGTATTGGTGAATTTTTTCAGGTTTTTTTTTTTTAATTTTTTGGTCTGGAAATGTTTTTATTTCTCTCTTTTCTTTTGAAGTATAGTTTTATCAGATACAGTATTTTTGACTAAAAGTTTTTTTTTTTATCATTATTTTGAATATGTCATCCCATTTCTTCCTGGCCTGTAGGATTTCTACTGAGAAGTCTAATGCGATTAGTTTTATAAGTAGGATGGTGTTTATCTGTAGATGCTTTTAGTATTTCGTCTTTGACTTTTAACAGTTTGGCTAAAAAAACCTGGAGAGGAAATTTTTATATTGGATCTATTTGGCATCTTTTGAATTTCCTGGATTGGGATGTCTGTATCTCTCCCTAGACTTGGGAAGTTTCAGTTAATATTTTATGGTGTAGATTTTCTATTCCTTTTCTGTTTCATCTTCAGGAATACTTATTATGTGGACATTCAAGTACTTAATAGTGTCCAGTAGTCTTCAAAGACTGTCTTCATTTTTTAAAAACTTTTTATTATTATTATTAAGTAGGATATTTCAAAGGTTATGTTTTGAAGTTCAGAGATTCCGCTTGTGATCTAATCTGCTAATATTTTCTACTGAATTTTTTATTTCTTGTATTGAATTCTTCATTTCTAAAATTTCTGATTATTTTCAAGATGTCTCTCTCATTGAATTTCTCATACTTATTATTCATTGTTTTTCTCATCTCCTAAAACCATTTGTCTCTATTCTCTTGCATCTCATTTAATTTCATTATGGCTAATTTTCTGAATTCTGTATCCTACATCTCTGTGATTTCCTTCATTTTGTCAGTATTGGAGAATTAGTGCACTTTTTTTACAGGAGACACTTCCTTGTTTTTCATGTTTCTTGTGTCCATGCATTGATATTTGGGCATCTAGTAGAACTCTCACTTCTTCTTGCAGCTATGCTTAGTGGTGGTGGCTTTGGGTACAGTTGGGTTCAGTGGTGAAGTCTCTATACCTTTTCAGAGTCACTGATGGTGGAACATTCAGGCCTGTGTTTCTAGGCTGCAGGTGAGGTTAGAATTATATACTGTGACCTACCTATAGAGGTAGTAGATTCACCTGCAATGATAATAGCATCTGCTCTATGGAGTGGTTCTATTGAACTCAGTCTCTGTGTAGGGCACAGAGGCCCTCTGCAGGCGATATATTAGCATGGAGGTATCAGCTGAGAATTTGAAAAGTACTCTATCTTGAATGGGTTGCACACATGCGGGATGCTAATATGGGTTGAGAAGTTGTGCCTCAGGGGATGCTTAAGTATTTATATTGCTGATTGTATGCCCTCCCTGAAATTGAAGGAAGATCCTACCTTCTCTGCTATCACTACTTCCCCTCCACTGTCAACATTCAAGGAGATAGGTTTGCTGATCACTTCACAGCTGTCTAAACAGGATGCATGATGAGGAAGGATGCCATCATGGTCAGAGAGCTGCCTCACCATTGTTTCATACATTTGGCAAGAAGCAGAAGTCCTGTATATCTTTTGCATAGTCAATATGATAAGAGAACATTCCATTCCCTAAGTATTCATAAAAGAAAACCTCTTTATGCAGATCGATTCTTTTCTGGATGAGGTTTGGAAAGAGTAATTCTGATGAGTGATTTTTGTTTTTACATTGCTTTATTTTCCTCTTAGTACTTTACAGTTTATTCTCAGATTATTATGTATAGTAATGCCATATAAACAACTAATTCCATTGTATTAATTATCATTAGATTGGATTTAGTATTTAATGGAAATCTGCTGAAAAGATCATACACTATTTTTTTTATGCCTATGTTGCTTCTGGTGTTATTCCATCAATATATGAAGAAATAAGATAAAAAGGAGAAACTAGACATAATCTTTCTATTGCTTGCTTTTTTTCTCTCATTTAAGTGTGTTTTGAAAAAAGACACCCTTGTCCTATGGCATATTGCCCAAATAAATTTATTCAGTTCTTAAATTGTTTTCTAGCAACTTGCCATCTAATTCTGAGAGAGATTAACAACCAAACTTTAAAAAAAATCATAAGTTTTAAAAACTATATACCCAGACATGTGGACATACCTCATTTGTGAATGTATATACATGTGTGCACATAAATTGGGTAATTATATACCTAACTACCATATCCATTTTATCATAATTCATTTTGCGCATGTATAAAGGATGACTTTTTAATTCATACTCTATAACTTTTCATGTTCCCATTCAATGTTAAAGTATATAAATTTTCAGGAAATTATAAAATGCCTCCTATTATTCTGATATAGCTGTAACAATAGCTTCTTTACTAAACATGTATTCTAAAGTAGTACTAGGTAATGAATAATTTGGCTTCATCGGTTATGTTTAAAAAGCAGTAAAAAACTGCTTTATCAGCCTTTTGATCAAAGGACTATACTGACATCTGAGTTTAAGTTCTGCCAGCTGTAATTTAAAAATTAAGTTCCCTTGGGACCAGCAGATGGCATAGCGGTTATGTCACTGGACTCCCACATGGCCGACAGTGATTTAAGTCCAGGACCCAATGGCTTGAAACTCTTGCTGGCTGCATATACATGCATGCCCAGGATCCCAGGAAAAGAATGGAGGAGAAGGGATTGTGATGTAGCTATCCCCCCTGGGGAGTGATTTTTCATTTTCCTTCTTATTGTCTCTGTCTCTCTTCCCCCTGCTTCTCAAGCACATGTGCCCTAAGGCAAAAATACCTTTACAAAAAAGTCAGTTTCCTTAAAGTTAATATGATAATAGCAATAGATATGCCAGACTTTGTGAGATTACAACTCATCTCTAAAATTACTAAACCCACATACAATAAACCTTCATAAAGTTATTTCCAGATGCTGTGCTTAGTGCTTTTGCAGACATTTTCTTACTTAAAGAGACTTTGAAACCAAAATGAGTCATTAATCTTCACAGTAATTTTGCAAAAGGATATGTATGTATGTATATATGTATTAGTTTCCATTTGTGGCTATGATAAATACCACAAACTTGGTGGCTTAAAACAACAGAAATTCATTCTCTTACAATTTTGGAGGCCAAAAGTCTGAAATGAATTTCACTGGGTTGAAACCAAGGTGTCAGGAGGGCTACATTCCCTAGGGGAAGCTCTAGGAAGGAATCTGTTTCCTTGCCTTTTCTAGCATCTAAGGAGTGTTCCTTGCATCTCTGGTTCACAGCCCCTGCCTTCATCTTCAAAGCCAGCAGCCATATAACCTTTTCTTCTTCAGTAGTAAAATCTCCCTCTGGCTCACTTTCATACTTGGAAAATCCAGGATAATCTCCAAATCCCAAAATCTTTAATTTAATCATGTATTAAAGGTTTGTTTTACCATATAAGGAAATAGTCACAGGTGATAGGAATTATTGGGTTGTTGGGAAAGTCATGCTTCATTTTTCCATAGAAAAATATGCCATGACAATCCCAGCAAACTAACAGAATGTGTTTGGGATAGGGGCATATTGTTCATCCTACCATGAAATTTTAAAAATTTGTTTGTTTATTCATTGATTCCAAAATAGAATACATAATACTGCTAAAAGTCATATAAAAGCAAAGCATGTTGGAAACCACAGTTTTGACAGAAGTTGAACAGATAAGTTGGTAATGTAAACAATGGATTCTGGAGTTCCTCTGTTAATGTTCTGACACATTATTGACTGATTTTGTTGTTGCTGCTGATAGAAAGACAAGACATTTAAAAAATATATTTAAGCTTATGTTGTTGTCTTTCCTTTCCCTATAAAACAATGCTCAGTAATCCAAAGTCTTGAGTTAGGTATTAAAACACAGATTTACATAACTTGATACATGATTAATTTAAAAATACTTTGGTTTTTTTTATTTGAAAAAGTCCATAGAAACATGTTCAGATACTAGCTGTCTTACTCTTTTTAAGCTTTTTCTTCACCCTCTTTACCTTTTTAAAACAAAAATTTATTTAATTTTATTTTTTAAAGAATTCCTCAATGGGAACCAGCAGTTAACGTAATGGCTATGTCACTGGACTCCCACGTGGTTGACCGCGGTTCGTGTCCCAGACCCGGTGGCTTGAAACTCACGCCGGGCGCATGTGCGTGCGTGCCCAGGATCCTGAGAGGAGAATGGAGGAGAAGGGATTGTGGCGTGACCATCTCCCCTGGGGGGTGATTTCTCACTTTCTGTCTCTAAGTCTCTCTTTGTCTGTCTGGCGAGCGCACGCGCCCTACAGTAAAAATCTCTCAAAAAAAAAAAAAGGATTCCTCATTTAATTTTATTTTTTGTCATATTATTTTTTAAAAATTTGCTATAGGGCACATGAGCTCACCAGAGAGAGACAGAGAGAGAGAGAGAACAAGCCCCCAGGTCCAGGGCTCAAACTATGATCAACTACATGGGAGAGAGAGAGAACAAGCCACTAGATCCAGGACTCAAACCATGGTCTGCTGCGTGGGAGTCTAGCACCTTAACCACCATGCCACCTGCTGGCCCTGTTGCCCTTCCCTTTTGTTATTCTCGACATTAAGGCAGAATTGACCACTTTGCTGCTGATGGCTATATTCTAAGTAATAGGATGAGAGTTTTTAGGAAAAAGATCTAAAGGTTCCTTAACTCCTAGGAGATTCTAGATCTCTGAGCTAGATTATTTTCTGTTTTTATTCATTATCATTCCGATGTTTATGGTTAATCTTATACCTTTGTAGACAAAATTTCATTTGCTATATGGTTTAGTGTCTTATAGAGTTACCCATGAATATGTTTTAGAAAAGTACTATGCATTTTATTGCATAATTTTAAAACTAAATGTTTTTCCCTGTAGGATACCAGAAGGCCCTGTTGATCAGGGGCCAGCTACAGGAAGGGTACGTGTTTTAGAAGAGCAGCTTGTTAAGGCCAAAGAACAGATTGAAAATTACAAGAAACAAACTAGAAATGGTAAGTGATTATACAGTGTTTTTCCCTCTCATTATGTTGGTTTTAGCACAAATAATTTAAAATGTCTTTTTATCAAAATGTTGGAAATGCTTTTACTCTCTATTCCTGACTACAGGTCTTGGGAAGGATCATGAAATTCTAAGGAGGAGAATTGAAAATGGAGCTAAAGAGCTCTGGTTTTTTCTACAGAGTGAATTAAAGAAATTAAAGAATTTAGAAGGAAATGAACTCCAAAGACATGCAGATGAATTCCTCTCAGATTTAGGACATCATGAAAGGTATTATTCTCACTTTACAGTTCATTGGGCTTTGGTAAATACTTTAATCCACAAATGGGAAACTAGAGTGTGTGTTAATTTCCCAGTTGAATAGTGAATGATACCTTTTGTATTTAAGAGTAGGGGACTACCTTAGGTCTCAGAGGACAGTACTTGCCAAATGCATGCAGTTCATCAACCAAAATATATCACCTGAAAATATTATTTCAATTATATTTCTAGGATCTTTACACAATAAGTAAACTCTGAAGGTAGTAGTGTCAGACACCTGTACATTTAAATATTTAACTATAAATTTTCTTCGTATATAATCAGTATTTTAAGTGGAGTATGGGCCAACCCTTTTTCTGGGACCCCTCCCTTCTTGGAAGTTCTGTTTTTCCTTCCCTCTCCTTCAGTAAACTCCCTGTTTTGCTATTCCTACTCTCTGTGTCCACGGCTCTTAATTCTTCATGAGCATGAGACAAGAAGCCATGTCTCACTGCGAGTACTGGGCCCAGTTACCCCTTGGATTCCCATGTTTCTGCGTTTTGGTGAGTTGGCCAGGAAACATGTAGGCTCCCCTTCTTCACATTGGAATGGTAAGTAATGCGGACTTTCTATCCTTTTTTTCCTGGGACAGTCTTGTCCCTAGAAACGAGCTCTGTCAGATGAACTCACTTGGCATTGGACAGTCGTGTAAAACCTCTAGGGTGACTGCCAGTCTGCAAGTCTCCAGTGTGAGGATGGCCGGGAAACAGTCAGTCAGTCCTTCAGCATTACCTAAACATTGAGAATGTTGGCTGTTTTGTGACTCGGTTTCTGTTTCTGGAATCCTAACTGTCATGGAGAAGATGAATGTTCCTGGGGTAATTGATGGTGCGTGTCAGTGTTACTCTCTGGTGTATCCTTAAGGCCCTGAGAATTCAAAGCCATCCCCATAGCCAGGCTGGGTAACGGGCAGATTCCTTTCTTTCCCTTCTTTTCTTTCCTTTCCTTCAGATATTTTCTCTTATCTGCTAGTGAGATAGTGATAGATATCTAGCAAAGAAAGTTAAACTGATCTTTGTCCGCTCTGCGGTCCAACAGGGTTCTGGGAGTAGGAACTCCAGCTGTCACATGGGAGAAACTGAATGTCTCTGAGCAATTGAAGGCATCTGGCCAGGGCCACTCCTTGGGGTGCTGGAAGGCTCTGAGATTGAAAGTTCTCCCCCACTGCTCAACTGAGTGTCAGGAGTTCCCCTGCTCTCACCCTTAAGCCCACAGACTTTCTTCACCTTCACAGGGGTCTAGTCAAAAATGAGCAGGAGATCCTCTTTCTCTGTGGGCTCTAAAATCTCTGCTGAACAGCCCTCCTTTATCCCACTCATACTGATCAACCAGTACTCAGAAAGAGCAAAACATGCCTTAGGTAAAATAACGAAATGGAATATGTAGTTTTGCTTTGCAGTATATTGGAACTCATACTGAGACTGACAGTTATGTTTATAATTCAAACATTAACAAATTTTAAATGGCATCTTTCTAGGATTTCTAATTCAAGTTTAGCAGATTTTTGATAAAAAGCCATTATTTTTAATATTATTAACTGCTCTTTCATTTAGTTGTTTCAAAGGAATACCAGAAATCTGGTTAAATTTGTTAAATTTATTTCTACTGCTTATACATTGCTAAGAAATATGCAATTTATTTTTCATAGAAGAGAAAGTATTTTGGTGCTGATGTGTACATGCAGAACAAAAAGTATCTGAGAATCATTATTCAGTGAAACCTGTCCTTAGCCCTAAAACCTATGTTCTCAGTAGGATTCTGATAGCAATTACTGTTTCATTAGTGGACAATAAAAGAAATTGTTGTGTTAGCACAGCTACCACTGTGAAGAGGAAAAGAATTACCCCATACAAACAAGCGATTCATATATATTATTATTAATAGTATTATAATGGTTTTGAAAAATTGCTCTTCTGTTCTAAGTGAAATTGCAAATAAAATCTATCAGTTGGAATAATTTTAGCATTAATGAATCTACAGTAATGTGATAGCATGGATTTCAAGGGGCAGTGAATTATTAAGCTACACATTAGGTAGTCCCCTTGAAATTTTTAGCCCCGTTTACAGTCAGGCCATACTTAGACCACTAGACCAAATGCTGACTAATTCTGTCTTTAATGCTTCTCTACCCTAAAGGCTGATGCTAGGCACCAAGCTGCTGTTAAATGGGGCTTTTTGTTCATGTGCTCTTCTTATCACAATTTTGTAGAAAAAGGACTGATATGAAGAGGATTGACTTGGGTAGATTATATGGTATATAAAGTAGAATTTTGCCTATTCTTTTAAAATTTTTTTTTTATGTTTTTCAGCACTTTATTGTATGTTTTAACATATGTATACACATATTGTTAGAAAACATCACCACAATCAATGTAATTGGTACAGTATACCATCATCTTTAACTGCATTCCTTTGATACTTTACACAATTATTTTTGCTCTTTCTCATCTCCTCATTTTAAGGCAACCGCAGATCTGCTTTCTGTCATTGTATAGCATCTTATACATTTTTAAAATCTATTACTTTTTAATTAACTAATTATTTATTTACAGTCATTCACTATACATCAATACAGTATACAAAATGAGATTTTCCATCCAGTATACATCGAATATTGGCTTAATCAAGGATATTACTATACATGTTATCATTAACAAATTATTTTCTATTTCTTGTTTCTCATATATTTTACCCTTTTTCCCCTTGATTCCCTACCTCTCGCCCTTTGCCAACTCCTCTCCCCCCACTTCTCCCACACTGTCTCTGGTATGTACAATTATTTTCTATACCTTTTTTTTCACATTTTATTGATTCACTAAAGATCTTAATCAATTTAAAGACTTTCAATATCAAGCACAGCTGCTATATACAGGTTTATGAATGCATGTCTGACTTTAGACGTAAACCTCAATGAGTAAACATACTGTAAAGTAGCACCTCACTGGGGCTATATAGCTTACTGCAGTCATTAAATAGGTATTAATAGGTATTTTTAATGCATTTTTTTAATTTCAAAAGAAAAGTTTTAATTTTAATAGGTCAAAATAAAAAAATGTTAAGAGAAATTTTTTTAAAATTTAAAGCCAAGAGAAAGGTTAGGATTCAGTTCAAACAGTAGATAGATGAACCTATCAGCAGTTCAAGAAAAGACAAAAATCCTTAAATATGGAAATCAAAGCATCGAAGAAAATCAGTAATATTTTAGTCTAAAGTAAAAAAAAATTCTATTTCACTAGTTCAGACTTACATAATTAATCTCTCTTCTATTGAATTTGCATTGTTATTGTGGTCTGATCTTTCCATTTAAACTCTGCAAGTTAACATTCAATTCCAGACTTGACCCTACCATTAGGCTGGCCATTGTCTTGGTTGTTTCTTGTACTCTTATTTCTGTTTCCAACTTTAGTTTTCCTGGAATAGCACTCCCTTCAGCACTTCTTGGAGAGCTGGTCTGATGTTGGTAAATTTTTTCACGTTTTGTTTATCTGAGAATGTTCTTGTCTTTTTTTCCCCCATATGAAAGATAATCTTGCTGGGTATAGTATTCTTGGTTGAAATTGTTTTTCAATTAATACTTTGAATATATTTTACCATTCTTTCCTTGCTTGCATTGTTTCTGATGAGAGGTTCGACATTAACCTTATGGGATATCCTTTGACAGTAACTTGACATTTCTCTATTGCCAATTTTAGTATCTGTGATTTTGGTCAGTCTGGCTATGATGTGCCTCAGGGAAGATCTTCTTGGGTCTATTCTATGTGGAGTCCTTTGTATTTCTCGGGTCTGGATATTTGAGTGCCTCTCCAGATTTGGAAAGTTTTCTTCCAGGATTTCATGGAATAGATTATTAATACCTTTATTAGTTTCTTCACGTGCTGGGATACCAATGATCTGGATGTTTGGGTGTTTAATGGTATCTAGTATTACTCATATGTTATTCTCTTTTTGGGGGGATTATATTTTTAGTCTTTCTGGTGAATTTTTCTAGGTCAGAGGTTCTATCTTCTACATCTTAGATTCAATCTTCTGCATGATCTAGTCTGCTTTTAATACCTTCAACGAAAGTTTTGATTTTCTGTATTACAGGCTTCATCTCTAATAATTCTGTTTGATTCCTTTTTATGAAGTGTGACTCCTCTTTCAGATTGTACAAGAACTTCCTCACCTCCTAGAACTCAGTGTCTCTTCTGCATTTTTTAGAGTTTGTTGTCTCTCTTCTCTTACATCTCTGTTAGCTTTGTCACTATGAAAATTTTAAATCTTTATCCGACATTTCCATGAGTTCTCTTGTATTCTCTGGCTCCTGGCTGGACTGGGTAGCAGGAGGTGAAGTCTGGGCAGGGTCTTCGGTGGTCGAGATCCCTGAATGGGGACGCTTGGAACTCAAACATAGATGGCTGCTGATTGGCTTATCCTGTCTCCTGGCTATACTGGGGAGCCCTTATTGACTTCTGATGGGATGTTTAATTTTAAGGTTTGAATGATTTAATTATTTATCCTGTAATTTAATTTTCAAATATGTGTGTTTGTGTGTGTGTGTGTGTGTGTGTGTGTGTACATCATCACATATATCTGTGTCCATATCTTTCATCTTTGTGGTTTAATTTATTTTTTAAGTATTTTTTGATGCTATTGTAAATGGGTTGTTAACTTCTTTTGTATAGTTTGTTGTTAATGCATAGATATGAAACTGATTTTTTATGTTGATTTTGTGTCTTGCAGCTTTAATAAATTTCTTTTTGTGTACATATGAGTGTTAAAAGGCCCATTTTACCAGTCTTATTTATTCATTTCTTCCATGAGTTAGAGAGAGAGAGAGAAAGAGATAGCACCTCTGACAGAGTCCTAAGCCATGATCTACTAATTCAGTACTGATCTTGGGCAGATGATTGCCTGATGTACTCAGGGAAATCTCCACACCTGAGCTGGAAATCTTCTCATGTAGGATTGCTTCATTGAGCATAATGTTT